TTGGATAGATGGTACACCTTTGCTTAGAGTATATAGAGTGCCATTATACTGTATTAAACACTTTTTTTTTCATTTCCGCCAGATGATGATCACCTTACTGTTTGCTGTCAATGAGGTTTAAACATGTGCAGTCTGAGATAGAATAACAGGTAGAGTCTTTATGTGATATAAATCTTGAAAACCTGTAGCTTAGACCTGTAGAATCCCTGCCCGTTACTTTTTCTGTTATTGATTCTGATCTGGAAAACAGGACTTGTGCCAAGGGGATGTAGAATTTCCACAGAAATAGCATGTTTGGAGAAGTCTGCTTGAAAGGGACACCCCTGCATGTGTGAATGTGTGTATGTGCATGCTACAACCAATACATCACAATATTCTTTTTGAAACAATGTTTTGTTGGCATTTGACTATAAAAGCATTTCATTGATTATGTATTTGTGTGTGCACCCGTGTGTGTCTGTGTATGCGTGTGAATGTATTCTTTAAGTTTTGAGCATGTTCATGTCTGTTCATAAGTGAAACTGTCTAATTACATCTGTATCTCTATTGTTCTCTGCATTTCTCTCTGCACCTTCCCCCATCCTGCAGGTGGTCATGCTGCTCTCTTTGTTCTCCTGTGCTGTGGGCTTCTCCCTCCTACCACTCCTCCTGTTCCCATACCCTGCCCAGGCTTGCCCTGCCCGTTGTGAGTGTTCTGTGCCCACACGCTCAGTCTCGTGCCACCGCAAGCGGCTGGCACAGGTGCCCGAAGGCATCCCCATTGAGACACGAGCACTGGATCTCAGCAAAAACCGTCTGCGCATTATCACACCACAGAATTTCTCTGGCCTTCTGTTGCTAGAGGAGCTTGACCTGAGCACCAACCTGTTGTCATCTGTGGAGCCCGGAAGTTTCCGTGCCCAGCCGCGCTTACGAACACTGCGTCTGCGCAACAATCAGCTGACCCTGCTGCCACGTGGTGCACTTGCTGGCCTGGGTGAGCTCACTCTACTGGATATCAGCCAGAACCGTCTGGTTATCCTGCTTGATTACGGCTTTGAAGACCAGCGGCGTCTGCGTGTGCTTGAGCTTGCTGACAACGAGCTGGTTTTTGTTGCACCCCGTGCATTCAGTGGCTTGCCTGCATTGCGCTCGCTGACACTGCAGCGCTGTAACCTGAGTGCTGTGCCCAGCCACGCACTGGCGCACCTGCATGGTCTAACCAGCCTTCGCCTTAGACAGCTGGACATTGCAGAACTGCTACCACACACCTTCAAGGGCCTGGGCCGTCTACGTCATCTTGAGGTGGATCATTGGCCAGCACTGGAAGCTGTGCCCTCTCTTGCCCTGCAGGGTCTGAACCTTAGCACGCTCTTCATCACCCATACCAACCTTTCAGCGGTGCCAGTGCTGAGCCACCTGTCCTACTTGACCCACGTGAACTTGTCATACAGCAGCGTGAGGGTGCTGCCAGCTGGCTGGCTGCGTGGCCTGGACCGGCTGGAAGTGCTGCATGTACGCAGGGCTCAGCTGGTGCGTGTGGAGGCCCAGGCCTTCCAAGGGGCACTATCACTTCGCCTGCTTGACCTCTCTTACAATCGCCTGAGTACATTGGAAAGAGCCACACTGCCAGCATCTGTGGCCCTGCAGAACCTCCTGATTGGCCAGAACCCATTAGTGTGTGACTGCCGTCTGCGCTGGCTACTTCAAAGGACACTGCCTCTACAATTTGGGGAGGTGCAACCTCAGTGCACAACCCCTGCTGCTCTGGCTGGGAAACCTTTCAGTGAAGTAGTAGAGCCACTGCTCTCCCGCTACGTCATATGCACCAAACCCAGGGTCGTTGCCATGTCGACACAACCAGCCCAAGCAGAAGAGGGACAAAAGGCATGGTTGTACTGCACAGCAGACGGCGCTCCGCCCCCCTCTGTCTCCTGGCTGACACCACACAGGAGGCACATCACCACCAAGAGCACAGGTCGTATGGTTGTCCACGGCAACGGTTCATTGGAGTTTCGGGTAGTGGAGCCTCAGGACAGTGGTATTTATGTGTGTGTGGCATCCAATCCTGCAGGCAATTCTACCCTGTCCATAACACTAGCTGTCAAAAGCCTGGGCCTTAGGGACGGGGCTCTCTATGCCAACCGCAGCTTTATCTTTGATCCTGATTACAATAGCTCCTTAATCAATGGCACAGAGCATTACACAATCAGGATGGTGCTGGACTTCACTACTATTCTTGTGTCTACAGCTATGGGCTGCCTCAGCTTCCTGGGTGTGGTCCTTTTCTGTTTCCTGCTTCTGTTCGCTTGGAGCCGAGGCAAAGGCAAGCACAGAGGAAGTGTGGACATCCAGTATGTTCCCCGCAAAAGGAAAGGAGGCAGCAGTGAGCTTACTGAGACCAGTGGCCCAAGACGTGTCAACATGAAGATGATCTGAGAGCCAGATGGTTCCGAAAGCATAACCTTGATCTGCTGATAGCCAAACTGTAGGATAGAGGAAAAAGGAGAGAAAGACCTGCAACCATGGTGGCCAATAGAGATTGGCAGCACACTGTTTCAGTTTGTGTGCTTTAGTGTGAATGTACATTTGAGGTACCTATGACGTACGTACATATGAATGTACGTATGTCAAGTGAAATATAGTGTGTGCATTTATGGGCATGTGTGTGTCTATATTATATGGATGTATTCAATTGTGAGAGTTTACACATACTATCCAAACAGAGTCACTTATCAAAAAAAGTATTTGCGTGTCTTCTGCAATGTTTTGTCTGGATAGCATTATTTGGACAGCACAGACATGGGCAGAGGGCACATTGTTGTATAAATATCATGTTTGTGAGGGAGAAAATGGTCTATTTCTACGTTTTAGGTTCCACTATTATTAACCTTTGAATTGCTGCAAAAACTCAAACTGTCTTCCCCAACAAGTAAATTATATACAGGAAGAAGCCTCAGCAGTGCTATGTTGTGAAGTGTTTGGTTTTGCTCCGAATATCTATTCTCCCCTGCGAGATCTTGAGGTTAGGGGAGCCTCTGGGAAAAGAGGAACATCATCTGCCATTTTATTGTTAAAAAAAAAAAAAAAAAAAAAAAAAAAAGAACATAAAATGTGTTGCTATGTGAGGACCTGTTTGAAATGGTGGGTACCAGGGGCTGTGTTTGTGACTCAGTGGAAATCTGTGAAACTGTTTTTTGATGTTCTGTCAAATGCTGCTCAGATGTTTTTACATAATAAATATATTGGTATATTTTCCAAAGAAAATAAATATAAATCATACAGTTTGATTGTTGTACCATTACAAACCAGAATCTGGTTCTTGTTACTGTGTCTAATGGTCCAGTGTTCTCTTAATCCAGCATATACCATATTCAACCATTTCAGTCATTTGAGTGTTATCTTAAGCAAATGACACTATTAAATATGAAAACTTTATTTGGCTAAACCAATATTCTATTATATAATCAAAGGCAAAAGTTTATCCCCTTAGAGCAAGATGAAGAAGGTCAAGAATTTTCAATAAGACAATTAGTATGTCATATTTTACAGATCTTTCATTATCACAAAAATGGTACTGATGTATAATGTATGTTAAGATATGAATAGTGAAAAATATAAAAATTATTTCAGTTGAATAGTTTGCATGTCTCTTTCTGAATATAAATATTGGCAGTCGCCTTTATTGCTGCCTTCAATCTCTTTTGTATTTTCTGAATCCTGTCAGTTATATTACGTTCTCAGTTATAATTCACCCCATATAGCCCATCCCCATCCCCCCACACACACATCCACACACACTCTTCCTGACAAATCTTTCTAACTCAAATTGCATTCCTCAGATCAGTTCTGGCAAAAATAAATAAATAAAAATTGCACTCTGTATCTGTATATTGCAGTTCAACCAGTTGTCTGCAAGAGACAATGGAAATATTTAATATGAATCCTGTATTTATAATGCATTATATGTGCATTTAGATTGTTATATAGCATATATACAGTATCTTATTAAGCCTTGAATAAACCTGCATAAGTTACATGACTTCATAATGTCATTTTACATAATGCACTAGAGTATCTGCTCAAGAACAATGTGAAAACTAAACCTGTAATGTACTAAAACTGTATTTGCAAGTTACAATGCATCATTTGGGCTCTTAACTTACAAAGCATAATACCAGGTCATTATAGACTTTAGGCAAAGTAAGATTTTTTAAATGTAATGTGTAATGTAATTTCTATTATTGTATAAGTGTCTATAATGATTTTATGAACAGACATTATAATATTTTGACATTATGTGTTGTAATGTGTTATGTATTTAACGACAACTATTTTTAGGCATTTATTTATGGTGCTTATTACATATGGTATTATGTATGCTATACAGTATATAGTCATGGGAAAAACAAAGTATACCCTCCTTCAATTCTGTGTTTTCATTTATCAGAATGTGTGTGATTGTGCCCTGCCATGGGTTGGCACCCTGTGTTTCACATTGTTGTGCCCCAAGTTCCCTGCGATAGGCTCCAGGCTCCCCAAGTGCTATGGAAAATGGATGGATGGATGGATTTATCAGCACGTAAATAACACTTGGGTGGTCCTCACCAACTTCTATAAACAAACAAATAACTTCAGGTGACCAAAAAAAAAAACCCCCCACAACAGATTTCAATATATAGTAATTTTTTCCAAAAAGTAAACTAACATTCAGGTGGGAAAAAATAAGTATACCCTTCCTACTTCCACACTCATTAAGAGAGTAATTAGCAGCCAGGTGTTAATAATGAAATACACAAGATTAGTTAATCATCAAGAAGTGTGACTACCTCTATAAAAGCAGAACTTTTGGCAGTGTGGTGTTCTGGAGCACTCAGGTGTGTGTCTATGTCATGCCAAGAAGAAAGGACATCAACCATGACCTCAGAGAAGCAATTGTTGCTGCTCTTCAATCTGGGAAGTGTCATAAGACCACCTCCAAACAATCTGAAATTCACCATTCTACAATGAGAAAGATTGGGTCCCTGGAGGATTAGTGGTTAGGCCACAGCGTTCTCACTGCTGTGGCCCGGTTTCGATTCCCAGCCAGTGAACCAACCCCAGCCACTGGGGTTGCGTGCAACAGTGCGCTCTCAGTGCCGGTCCCAAGCCTGGATAAAATTGGGGGAGGGTTGCGTCAGGAAGGGCATCTGGCGTAAAAACTGTGCCAAATCAAATATGCGGACCAATGATCCGCTGTGGCGACCCCTAATGGGAACAGCTGAAAGAGGAACAACAACAACAATGAGAAAGATTGTTTACAAATGGAGAGCCTTCAAGACAGTTTCCAATTGTCCCAGGAGTGGGCATCTCAGCAAATTCAGTCCAAGATCAGACCATTTAATGCTCAGAGATATATAAAAAAAAGATCTACATAATGTGATCTACAGGCCACTGTAAGCACATGAAATGTTTATGATCATGACAGCACAATCAGACTGAACAAGTATGGCTTTCATGGAAGGGTGGCTATGAAAAAGCCCCTTCTCTCAAAAAAGAATATGGAGCAAGACTTCATGTTTGCAAAATTGCATCTGAACAAACCACAAAAGTTCTGGAACAATATTCTTTGGACTGAGGACACCAAGGCCAGCACCATGTTTGGCAAAACCAAATACAGTGTATCACCAAAAATACCCCATACCATTTGTCAAGCATGGTGGTGGAGGGGTGATGATTTGGTCTTGTTTTGCAGCCACAGGACATGGGAAACTTGCAGTAATTGAGACAACAATGAACTCCACTTTATACCACCATATTCTTGAGACAAATATGAGGTCATCTGTCCAGCAGCTTAAGCTGGGCTGAAATTGGGTCATGCAACTGGACAATGATCCCAATCACACCAGCAAACTAACATCTGAATGGCTAAAGAAGAAAAAAATCAAGGTGTTGGAATGGCCAAGTCAAAGTCCAGACCTCAACTTCATTGAGATGCTGTGGCGGGATCTTAAAAGAGCTGTGCATAAAAGAATGCCCTCAAACATCAATGAACTGAAGCAATATTATAAAGAAGAGTGGGCCAAAATTTTCTAAAATGATGTGAGAGACTGATAAATTCCTACAGAAAAAGCAAGTTATTATTGCTAAAGGTGGTTCTACATGTTACTGAATTATAGGGTGTACTTATTTTTTCCTGCCTGGTTTCTGAAAGTTGGTTTACTTTTTAGGAAAAAATGACGACATATTGAACTCTGTTGTGTTTTTCAGTTTTTTGTTTATAGAAGTTGGTGAGGACCACACAGTTGTTATTTAGGCCCTTATAAATAAAAACATAGAATTGAAGGAAGGTGTACTTTCTTTTCCCATGACTGTATATAAAACATACAAATAATTCCTTATGAACAGAAGAGTGCTAGGAAGTGTTACTATATTCACAAGAGAACAGTATTAGTGCTGTGCATCAGGATGATGCTGCAAGAGCTTATTATCATGTTTCTGTAGTACAGAGCTGAGCTCTAATCCTGGAAGCCCATTTCAAAGATCACTGGTGTCCTATGCTCCACATGACAGAAGCAGAATGGGGTAGATGACAGGTTTCCCCTATCCCTACTGATGTAGGCAATGAACTCTGCTAGGCCACACAAACTAAAAACAGTCACTGTTCGCCTCCAGTAATGGAAGGTCACAATATCTAAAACTGGGAGAAAACTGACAATTTTCAAAAAATGTAACCAGTATAGCACAGGTATTCTAACAATATCTTCAGTAAATTTAGCCCTTTACTATTCTGACTTATGTGTGTGTGGGTGTATATCATTGTATGCGTCATCTCATAAGAGTTTTTTTATTGTCCTGATAGTCAGCAGAGTGACCTTGCTGTCAGTTCTTGGTGAGAGCCTAAACAGGCACAGCTTTTCTGTGTGACTGAGTCTTCCTCAGAGACACATTGCAGCATGAACTGATGCATGAGCTTTGCCTCTAGCTTGACCTGAGGAACCACCTGCTGCCTGATACAGACATAACCAGACAGACAAAGATAAAGAGTGTCTGAGGTGAACTAACAAATAGCTCTAATGGGCAATACTTAGACTGAAGCATGATGCTATCGAGCAATTCTTTATAAAAGCCACGTTACACAGGGTTTGGTACCTGAAGTCATGTCATCTATGGTGAAAGGCTCATCATTTTCTAAGGTTACAAGACAAGCCCTTATACTTTGCAATCCGTAACATAAAACTATAAATGTATAAACCTGCCATGTCTAAACTAGCTTAAGAGTATCTTTATGTTTTCAAATATTAGGACTGAGGCAGTCTAAGTGGTTTAATGATAATTACTCAAATGTGGTTCATTGCTTGAGAGTATTGTGGGGAAACAAAAGAAGTTCAGAGCTTTCAGCCTAATTTCAGTGTTTGCCAGCACTGCCCATGAGCCTGCCAAATAGAGAAAGGCGGAACAAATGGCACTAAAGGATCAACATGTCACCAGCTGAGTGCCAGTCATAAATCTCATGGTATCTTCCAGAACCATCACATGCAAAGTTACTATCTACCCAGTCCAAGCCTACAGATAGCCTGGTCCATCAGATTTGCACTGGGATGCCAGCACTTAGTTTTAGCTTCAGTGCACTAATGCACTAGTGCCATTGTATATGTGTGGTAAATAGACTGCTGGCATTAGGAGGGCTGCTACAGAAATAATAGCCCCCTTCAGTGCCTGTGAAAGTGGGTGGCATGCATCTCCACTCTTCCACACCACTGCATGCTTACAGGATGAATGGAGTGGAGGGAAATCACTCAGGCAGACATAATGTTTCAATCAAGAGGAAACATGACAACAGCTAATTAGTGCAATGCATCCTGATTAAGGGAGGGATTGTCTTTGAGGGAATGTATAGAGATGTATAGATGCGTGTGGGGCATAGAAAGAGAGAAAGAGAGATCTCAAAACATACACACACATCCACATAAAAACACACTCTCATCTCCCTGAAAGGGCTGTTGATGTGTAGTTCTTGTGAGAAGTGGTATGGAGGCAGCATCCACTGTAATCCAAAGATTTCTCCGCCGTGCTGTCTAGTAACCTGGCCATTAGATGCATGGAGACAGTTGCTAGGCGCTGCCTAAAAGTGTTGCTAACAGTGCTGTGCACTATTGTTACCATGACAACTTGAATGCCTATATCTCTTCCTCTGTGAACCTGCAAAGTCGAAGAGGAATCGTCTGAACAAAGAAACATGCGGTGCACAGTGTGACCTGTTGCCAGCAAACCACATTCCTTGTATGGTGTGAGATACACAAATATAAAATACCTGTATCCAAAATCACATGAGACAGTAGATTTGTGGATGGCGTACACTGTAGATCTAATGCTGGTGCATCTTAAAAACTTGATGATGCTCAATGGAGATTTTTTTATGCCTTGCTGTGTGTGCCACAAGGAACATTTTGGTCAAAATGACATTTACACAGTTTTCCCTTTACCCAAAATTGAGGTTCAGGTGTTGGATAATCTCAAATAGACCTGTTTAAGAGGTGTCTGATACTGCATGACACATTGAATCTGTAACAATGGACAAAGGCACATCACATAGTTAAACACAGAGGCATCCATCTAAAAGCTGAAATCACTTTCTTTCTCAACACATAGCTTGGCAAGCATCAGACTCAGGTAGGCGGTGTTTAAAGGAGGAGATGTTTTAGTGTTGAAATAATAATATACTATTTTAACAAACTTATTCTGCTGTTTTATGGAGCTTTCTACTGTATGTGCTGTATGTACTGGTATTACTTAGTCAAATTTCCATATCATTTATCATAGCAAAAATGCTTCCATATTCTGCATTGGCATTTCTACATCTTTTTCAAAAAGATTTCTGTCCAGGCTGAAACGAAAAAAGGGGGGAAATACCTATACTGAGCAGGTGCACACTGTGCATCCTACCTGAGCCTGCAGTCTGATCCATTCTGCATGTTTGATGTGGTCTTGGCCAGTGAAGATCACTAAAGGCTGCTTTACACTGCATGATTTTCACCACAATAACATTGTTGCAGGCAAAAATCACTCATCGTGAAAGAATTCCTTAGTCATGAGTTAAACCTGGTGGTCTTAGATCACTTAATATGATATGCTCATCAGTGGCTGATTCAGTTCATGGCACTGTCAGAAATGTTGGACCTTTACTGCATCACTATTGTAAGAGAATCATAATCATATAAGCACATGCAGCACACATGAACATAACTGAGGATGCACAGCCTGCCACAGATTTGGCTTTTATCTCGTAAAATGTGACATGCAATAAACTTACAAAGACTATAACTGCATATTGTAAAATAGTCTTAAGATGTGCAACAAAAAGACTCTACTTATATTGTGTGTATATAGTGCATAGCTATGTTCAGTTATAAGGAAGTGAACAAGAGTGACAGTGATAGATAAATTAACTTGTGCTCTGTCTCTTGAACATGTTGGAGTTGGGAGAATCAGGAGCCAATCACAGGACAATGCAGTTATCACTTGCTTGCCACATCCAAGGACCACATAGACACCTAATCATCACATCAATATGTGGCCCTTCCTCAAACTTTTGCTACAAATTTGGAAGCATGCAATTGTCTAGAATGTCTTTGCATGCTGTATCATTAAGATTTCCCTTCACTGGAACTAAGGGGCCCAAACATGTTCCAGAATGACAATAGCCCTGTGAACAAAGTGAGTTCTGTGAAGACATAGTTTACCAAGTTTGGGTTGAAAGAACTCAAGTGATCTGCACAGATCCCTAATATTCTTGTGCCTGAATGAGCACAAATCTCCACAGCCATGCTCCAAAATCTAGTGGAAAGCCTTCCCAGAAGAGTGGAGGGTGTTATAGCTATTTCAAAGGACGGACCAACTCTATATTAATGACCATGGTTTTGGAATAGGATGTTTAGCAAGCACATATCTCTGTGCTGGTGAGGATACTTTTGGCCATATGTACATTCAGTAGTCAAAAACCTTTTTTCTGATATATGTGTAGTATTGTAGACAAGGCTTTAGACATTTACACAATGCTGAACTCAGCCCTTAGAGATCTCTCTCTCTCTCTCTCTCTCTCTCTCTCTGTGTG